ATCATGCCATAGCAGTCCAGACTAGCCTGGGCAAAAGAGCAAGACCCTATCTCTACAAAAAAAAAAAAAAAAAATTAAATTTAGCCAAACATGGTGGTGCATGCCTATAGTTCCAGCTACTAGAGAGGCTGAGGCAGGAGGTTCACGTGCACCCCCTGGAGTTTGAGGTTGCAGTGAGCTATGATGATGCCAGGCACTACAGCCTGAACCTGAGCTCAGGGCAATCCACCCACCTCAGCCTCTGAGAGTGCTAGGATTATAGGCGTGAGCCACTGATCCAGGTTTATACGGAGGTCATTAATGGTAGCTCAGGCTGCTGCATGTGTTGATGCTGTCCAATTAGAAGACTCTCCAGCAGTGAGTTCGATGTTTCCATAGTGTTTGGTCCATAAAGCATGATATAATGGCTTTTGTGGGCATAATTCACAGTTTTGCCGAATCTTAAGTGACTGATCTATTTATGGCAGGGTTCCAGAGTTCGTAAGAGAAAAGCGATTTGGAAATTGGCTGAAAGATGCACGTGACTGGGCAATTTCCAGAAACAGATACTGGGGCACCCCTATCCCACTGTGGGTCAGCGATGACTTTGAGGAGGTAAGGCAGGACAGTATTTCCTTTGTTGGTTTTTGTTAAAGGACTTTGTTTATGCTCTGAGAATATGGTTTCTTAGCACTTTGTTTATGCTCTGAGAATATGGTTTCTTTTTTCCATTGGAGTTTGTTTTTTCCTGTATTTTTTTTTCCTTGTCATTCCTTCTTAGAGTAATTATGTAAGAATCTATTTTGGAGATTTTTTTATTTCTTTTTACTTTTATTAAATATAGTTTAAAATTTTTCCCTTTGCATAAAGGTAAAAGATACAGTTTGCTTTTTCCTCAGAGAAATCCATAAATTAATTTTTTTTCTTGTGTTGTTGTGATCTCTTTTCCCCCCTGCATTAACTTATAACATTAACTTAAGATTAAACTGATCTTCTAAATAATAAACAGGAAAAGTTAAAAATAATTTTCTAATGCACTGTAGACCATTAGCTTCTGAAATCAAGTGAGTGAGAGTTTATGTGTGGATGTGGAGGGTACAGTACAGGCTCTCTTAGTATCAAAAGGTTCTTAGAAAGTGCAGCTGTAAGCAAAACAATGGGCAATGAAAGCAGTTTTGTTCTGTAGAGATATTTTATCACCCTCGGTAGAGTGCCGTGGTGTCACACAGCTCACAGCACCCTCCAACTCCTGGGCTTAGGAAATTCTCTTGTCTCAGCCTCCTGAGTAGCTGGGACTACAGGCGCCCACCACAACGCCTGGCTAATTTTTGTTGCAGTTCATCTGGGGCCAGGTTTGAACCTACCACCCTTGGTATATGGGACCGTCGCCCTACCCATTGAGCCATAGGCGCCACCCAAAAGCAGTTTTTTTCTCCTCATCACCGTTATACTGCAGTATGTACAGTGTTTACCTACTGTACATTATCTTGCTTAAAGTCTCATGTTTTCAGAAACACTTGACCACATGACTTGCTATAGAGATATGCTAAGATCAGTGTAGCAGTGATGAATAGTAGCAGCGTGGGGACCTGAAAGTTGACAGTGAAGTAGCTGAATCAGAAGATTCACAAGAAGAGCAGAGAAAGAGACCATGCGTGTTCACTAGGTAGCACAGATCCCCTGAATGTGACCCCACGGCAGCTTCTGGTACAGCTCTTATCAGATGATCCCACGCATTCAGAGTGCCCCTATAATTTTAACATCTTGTGATTTAGTCTGATTATTTTCCTTTGGTCCAAGCACAATACAATCATGTGCCACATAACAGTGTTTTAGTCAGCAACAGGCTGCATGTAGCAGTGGTCCCATAAGACTTTGAATACCTTATTTTTCCTGCTTATTTGCTGTGTTTAAATATACGAATACTTATTGTGTTACATTTGTATTACATTGTGTTACATTGTGTAACATGCTGTACAGGACTGTAGCCTAGGTGTATAGTAGACTGTTCCATCTAGGATTGTCTAAGTGCACTCTGATGTTTGCATGCCAAAGTCACAAAGGAGGAATTTTTCAGAAGCATCCCAGTAGTTAAATGACACTTCACAGGTACATTTCACTTACACTGATTATTTTGGTAGAGATTTGCACACAGAAACACATGCTAAGAAAATGGCTATAATTGTTTAAAATCCTCTTCATGTAAGGACTCCCTAATATTGGGGTGGTAACGTGGGAACAAACACTGTCAGTACTTGGCCTTTTCAGAGATTGTGATGTGTGTCTTTCATGAGAGTTAAGCTACATTGGTGATAACTGTCCATCAGCCAGATTGGTGTGTACTGAGCTTTTCAAGAAAATCAGAGGTTTCTAAAACTAAACATGAATGCTGCATAAATTAACTCAGTGTGATCTCTTTGGCTCTAAGGTGCTTCTATTGTTTAACTTTATTTAAAAAAAAAAACAACGTTGTTTTTTACAGGTAGTATGCATCGGGTCAGTGGCAGAACTTGAAGAACTGTCAGGAGTAAAGGTAGCAGATCTCCATAGAGAGAGGTCAGTTTCTGAATGTTTAGTTAACTTAGTCCCATCATCTTCCTGTTGAGACAGGAGTGTTTATTGTCGATTACAGAGCTTCATGTAGAAATTGCTAGTTTGCTGAATTATTTTGATGACTCATGTCAGATTGAGATAAGTGGTCTCTGTCCTTGAATGTCAGGTAACTTTAGTGCATAATAAGCCTTTCAAATTGAGGTCTCATGGTGCTCTCTGAATACCTTTGAGAACTAATGATATTTCTGTTTGCAAGTGCATATAATATCCTTTCAAAGCTTTGTGTTTACTATTGGCAGTTAAACTGCAATTTCTTTTGTGCTTATAATGAATGGAAATGTCTACTCTTCTGTTTATTAGCATTGACCACCTAACCATTCCTTCACGCTGTGGGAAGGGATCATTGTGCCGTGTCTCTGAAGTGTTCGACTGTTGGTTTGAGAGTGGCAGCATGCCCTATGCTCAAGTTCATTACCCATTTGAAAGCAAGAGGGAATTTGAGGATGCCTTTCCTGCAGACTTCATTGCTGAAGGGATCGACCAAACCAGAGGATGGTGTGTCCCTATATTCAAGTGTTTTATTGATTTCATTTTATTGAATGAATATTTTACTTTTACCTACCATTTTTCTGCTGAGGGTTAGGGAGATTGTAGCCAACAAGACAGATCCTTGCCTCCCTCTGCCCTTACCACCAAGCCTAGACATTAAGTGCCTCTTGAGTAGGAACCTCTCACTACAGTAGGGCTGTAGTTTTAACATCTGAATTATTTTTCTGACACTTTGGGATATATCTATATGGTATATTGGAAGTTTTAAGCAATATGAAACTGCATTTTCTTAGTAAATAATTTGAAGTAAATAAGCTTAAATATTTAGTGGAGTATTTACATATAAGACAATACCTTAGGTCCTGGAAATTTGGGGAATAGTTGGAAATGTTCTCAGGTGTTGAGGTTAGTATTCTAAGTTTGCAAGATTCTAAGCATATCCAGATTTTTTAAAATATACATATATGTATATAGGGGGAAGATTTGGGCATTGGGTTTTATCTAGTGCCTTATTAAAAACAATAATGCTCCTTCTCTTAATTGGAAACTAGGTGGGTTACCTTCTTTACATGGATAAGCTTTGCTAGCTGTATTCTCATCATATATTCATTAGTAATGTTTCCACCAGGGTGTGTTTAAGGAACTGATGTCATTTTTCACTTTTACAACTTGTGGTAGACTTTGAATTCAAGCCTTAATGTTCTAGAATATGCTATTTTCAGATTTCAATCCATTTATCTATAGGAGTAGCTCCCAGAAACAACAAATGCTTGTTTTTAGGGAGGGACAAATGATTTACCAGTAAGCTTGTTCCTCTGAGGAGTGGTGAAGTCTGGCAGCTATTAACAGTTCTCACGTAGGTCCCTTGTTTCTTTACTTTCTTCTCCCCTTTTAGGCCTGATCTGTCTTTCCAAGGCATCAGACATCCTCTCCAGTCTCCTTTGGAATTGGAAGAGATGTCTGGACAGACATGGGGTCTGATCGCCTCACTTTATGTTTCTTGATGTTCTTGGAGTACAAGATCAGGTCACAGAGGCAGGGGAGCATCACCCCAGGATAGTAATAGGGATGTGATAGAGTTCTTTTAGGGAACAAGCTAGCTGGCACATAAATGAGGTACATATCTGACAGAATAAAAGCATTTTTTTGTTCTTATAGTATACCTTTTGAGTTTCAGATGAATGCTTTTTGCATAGTTTGTCATCAGATTATCCCATGTGGTCTTGTGCCAAACGTTACATATGTTCCTCATTTTTAGCCAGATGATTCTGGATGGTCCTGAGATGCCATCCAGCACTGCCTGGTGGCTTTCCCCGCTGGCTCCCAAGGAAAAGGGCAGTGGTCCTTACTGCTGGGGATCTTTGTAGCAGAGGGAGGGTCAGTACATCACACCAAGCCTTTATTTGCTTTAAGTAAAGCAAATTTTATTTTTCAAATTAGGTTCTAATTTGGTCTGTGGTGGGTCTTATGCATTAGTTCTTTTTTAACACTCTCCAAGTGATTCTAATGTGGAATTTGAGGTAAGAATCATTGATTTAAGTGTAGCTTATCAAAAATAGAAATTCATACCAGTGAGTAAATATAATTTATCCCCTATGTTTGGTCTTTTCTATTTTTATCAAACTTCTGTTTTGTTTTTCAGGTTTTACACCCTGCTAGTGCTGGCCACAGCCCTTTTTGGACAACCGCCTTTCAAGAATGTGATTGTGAATGGACTAGTCTTGGCAAGGCAGGTGCACTTTGTGTGACTAGTTCAGTTCTGATCCCGTTGTTTCTCACTCCTAGCATCTTCAAAGCGTCCATGTTCTGGTTGGACTTAGCCATGTTCTCTTTCTGAATAGAGGAATTTAGGAGCACTAAATCCCGACTCTAGTCATTGTCTTATTCTCCCCTCTAGTCTTTTTTTTTTTTTTTGACAAAGTCTGACCATAGCTTTGGGGAGAGAGTGCTGTGGTGCTATGGTACCTCACAGCAGTCTCAAACTGGGTTCAAGCAATCCTCATGCCTCAGCTGCCCAAGTGGCTGAGACTATAGGTACCCAGAACAATGCCCACCTAATTTTTCTATTTTCAGTAGAGACGGGTTCTTACTCTTTCTCAGGGTAGTCTCAAACTCCTGAACTTAAGCAGTCTGCCCATCTGAGCCTCCCAGAAGGCTAGGATTACAGGCCTGAGCCACTGTGCCCGGCCTGAGCCACTGTGCCCAGCCTCCCCCCCAATCTTAAACTTCTGACTGCTCTTCCTTTTCACTGAAACACCTGTCCAGGCCGTGTCTCCTCCATCTTGAGCTTTTGTACCTCTTAGTGTCTCCACTGTTCCTTAAGGAAGTGCATGAAGGAGAGGACTTTTAGACTAGGTTACTACTACTACTAATTTGATGCTACTGGTGGTATTACTAGTAATCAAATAACATTTACGAAGTTTTGCATTTCATGAACTACCTTTTCTTGTATTTTTTTTTCTTTGAGGCAAAGTCTCACTTTGTCACCCTGGGTAGAGTGCTATGGAGTCATAGCTCACAGCAACCTCAAACTCTTGGGTGTAAGCAGTTCTCTTGTCCCAGCCTCCTAAGCATGCCCGGCTAGATTTTCTTTATTTCTTTTTTTTTTTTTTTTTTTTT